AAAGTTTCTCAGCGGATTTGGGCTCTACTCGGCAAGCGCAGTACAGCCCCCAACTCAGATTTGAAAAAAAATCAGTGGATGGTTGTTTTCTCACTGGTCGGCAGACCGCCGACCGGTCGCCCCTACTGGTCGGCTGCAATACGGTCGGTCGGGGTCGGCGGTCGGCAGGGGTGCAACCCTGAATACAAGAATAAAAAAGATATTTTTACCAAGTTTTACTGTTTTAGGGCATTTTGAACTTTTTTTTTTTTTTTTGTGGTCCGATGGACCACGGATCAGATATTCAACTGATCAGAACAGATACCACACTTTATCTTAGCCAGAAAAAGAATTTTGATTTTTAGAAAATAATCCAAAAAATCTGGAAAAAAAACTACGTTAGTATGTTGCGCAAAATTGCAATACAAACAACTTCTGCCCGAGGGTTTTGGAGAAATTCCCAACCAAATTCGAGGAAAAAAATAAAAACAACGTCGGCTCCTACAAAGTTGTACCCTAAAACTCGTGCTACAACATACGTACGTTGAATACAACGGACCTCGTACGTTGTATTCAACAACGTACCTTGTACGTTGTATTCGTATACAACGTACGTACATATTTTTTGGGTTAAGACAGTAGGCTGATAAAGCACCATAAGTACTCTTGGACCATGACCCTGCACCTCATTAATTGGCCTACAGCTCCTCGTGTCTGGTACCTGCCTGATACATGCCTCATGCATCATACTCTGTATGCATTCATGAATTGATGGGATGAAGTACCTCGTGTGTCATTACTCTATTTTGCCTCCAGTGAGATGTCCACGGGACGAGCATTCCCCATGTTCTTCCCTGTTACATCACCCCCACTATCTTGCTGCCTCCTCCTGAGGTCCCTTGGCTACCAAACCACACTTTCCTTACTTAGGCTATGATTCAAGGATAATCTCACCCACCGTTCTCCACCATGAAACAGAGTTCACCAAGATCAACTGTCCCCAGGCTCAAAAACAGGCCCCTTTAGTGGTATATTGAACTACTATATTCATGCTTAGACAGAACGAAATCGTTCAGAAATGGCCAGGTTTGTGCTAGCTTAGCATGAACATCAAAGCACTGATATGTCCTAAGCATGCTCTGCCCAAAATACTGGCTGTGCTGGCAAATAGCAAATGGAATGGAACAGTCACCGTACTACCTTGGCGATCAGAATGTATCTCTCTCATTTTAATGTCCATCCGGCGAGCAAGTTCTTTCTCTTGGCGAGCCAACTCTCTCTCATGTTGGTCCCACTCATCCTTGGGTTCCTGCAATGATAACTCACAGGCATGCCCAAATCCAGGTCAGGCCCGTCAGCAAAAGCAAGGTTATGCTCCCGCCTCTAGGTTACGGAAGATCACTCCCAAAAAAACTTTTTGAAAATTCTGACTAATTTGCAGCAAATGCTCCATAATCTTCTTCTATAACCACTTCCACGAACCACCTCTCACCTTCCACAAGTGGTTAACGGGGATGGGTGGCAGTTTCTGGGGAGCAGCAGTCCGCTTACTTTTTCCCCCGGCAAGTCAAATGGCCTGGCCCTTGGGTTTTGTTATAAAATGGCGTAACAAAATTTAGAATTCCGTTAACCCTCTCTCCCAACTTCGCTATCCAAATCTTCTCCTAGTCCTCTCCTTTCACCCAGCCACCCATTGAACAAAAGGCACCATTCGCCCAGTAAGTCGTTAAACAGATGGTACCACAATTGGAATCACAAACAGAGGGCCGATGATGAATGAAATGTGATGTCACACATTCGAGATGCTACAATAATGTGAGAAGACCCCCCCCTTCCCTAATGGCTCGTTTATAACCGCTCTTCTTCACAAATTCAGAGCCTCAACTTCGGATTCCATCACTCCCTCACCTCATCTTACCCATCCTTTCTTTGTTCTTCTCGGTTCGTTCCACAGTTTCCATAGCAACGATGCCATTCGTCAACAGTGATGTGCAGAAGAAGGCCCATGCATAGGACTGGAGAATGGCACCATTCTGCCGTGCAGTGTTCTGTTGGGGCCGAAGAAACGCTGTAAAACAGAGAATCCTTGTGAGAGACCACAGTGAGAACGAGCAGGTTCATGTGTGTGTGTGTGAGAGAGAGAGAGAGAGCAGACCCAGAATTCAATATGTAGAGAGACCGGACGACTAGTAGTTGAAGTTACAAAGAGGAGTAGAGATTCAAGGGAGGAGGGTTGTCCGTCATACCTGGACGTAAACAGTAACCACAGAGATATTAAAGATAAGAGAGAAGAAAGTGGGAAAGCATAGGTTCACCTGCACAAGCGAGGCACTTATGACGCAGTTACAGATGGGCTCTCACATCATTTCAGCTCGCAGGGAGCCACAGTCCCTTTTGCTTTGCCCCGCCTAATTTCTATTTCCTAGGTCCCTCCACCTTCTCTGTGTGTGCACACTTACATGTCAAAAGAGTATTCCACATACACCTATGGACAACTACGCTAGACCATATCAGATGGCCAGAACTGCAGCATGAAATGAAGGACTAGTTGTGATCATAGACCATCATAGCCACAACGGGCTACCCCCATCTGTTGTACATAGATACTCCAGCAGTTCGGTATGAGAGTATTCTGATCCCCTCCCCCCTTTCCTCTCTCTCTCTCTCTCTCTCTCTCTCTCTCTCTCTCTCTCTCTCTCTCTCTCTCTCTCTCTCTCTCTCTCTCTCTCTCTCTCTCNCTCTCTCTCTCTCTCTCTCTCTCTCTCTCTCTCTCTCTCTCTCTCTCTCTCTCTCTCTCTCTCTCTCTCTCTCCCCCCCAATTCATCCCCCTGCCCCTGTAGGCTTCTCAATTTCTTCAGCGTGATAATGTACATACCACAGAGAGGGGTCCCATTGCAGGATTCCCAGACTTCTGAAGATCCAGTGTTTTGTTCTTCAGCAACGCAAACTTCTTGATGGAGTCGTCCAACCAGTCAATCCAGTGCTGATGAGCACACCCATACAGAGACGGGGACAAGCAGTGTCCTGCAGCAGTTAGTCACAAGAAACTGAGAAACCAGACATGTTTATCAGCTATGCACACGCATACACAGAGAGAGACAGTGAGGCAGACATACAGACAGACAAACAGACACAGAAAGACAGAGACACAGAGAGAGAGTCAACAGCAAACAACACGCATGGGAAACATGATTAGGAATTTCTTTCCCATAGGCCGAAGGGCAGATGAAAAAGCTACAGAAGTGCCGAGAGGTTTGCATCCAGCTTGGAGGCAGGTTGGTTGGGCACATCCACTTAGTCACTCAGTATGCATCTCCATGTATAAGTGAGTGACTGCATTACCCTATCCCGCTCCCCATTCTTGGATACTACAGTGTGTCTCACTGCAAGTAGAAACATTGGTGAAACTAACCTGGAAACATGTCATCGACCCTGATCTACTTCCAGGAAATGGACTTGCACCTTAGAAGACACACTGCAACAACTGTCTGCACATGCCAATTTCCCTGTGTAGCATAGAAAAGTATCGCATGACAGTCGACAGCGAGGGATAGCACAGGTTGTCTTTTGATAATTGTTTTATTGAAGGGAGTAGGGTGACCAGAGGCGGGGGTCTTGCTGAATGGCATGGGCTCAAGTGACAATCGATCCTTCCAGTCGAAGCCATCAATGCTGCCAGGGTGACCAGAGGCGGGGGTCTTGCTGAATGGCATGGGCTCAAGTGACAATCGATCCTTCCAGTCGAAGCCATCAATGCTGCCAGGGT